TATATATATATATATATATATATATATAGTTAGCTTGTAGCTGCAGGACAGAAGTCCTCATAGTTGGATTATAATCTGTGCACTTGTAAACCATCTTCAAGTTATGCATTTTTTATCTTTTGAACAGTGAAAAATGAAAGCAGCACATGTCCTCAACCTCCTACATTTCCTCTACCTGAAGGAAAAAGTAAGTCCATTATTTGCCCTCGAATGATTTTATAGAGAAACTGATGGACGGACAGATACAGGAAGTTAGATTGTAGCTGCAGGCAGGCTCGGACCGGGAACGATTTTCAGCCCTGGCATTTTTCCATCTACACCGGACCACTTATGGATACCCCCCCACCCCTCCAGAAAAAATAATAGAAGAAATGTGAAACACAATATAAATACACATTGGCGATTAATCGATCTATCTTCAAGCATAACTAATGCGGTTTTACTGGCTTTGCTTATTAACACGGAAACAACAGTGACTTTAAAAGGGTTGCCAGATGTCACTGACTGTTTTCCAGGCCAAAACATTTTCATAAACTGCCTGGAAATACCAAATCTCGCCCAATTTAAACCAAAGTCTATTGATCTATTGCGCCATAAATCCAAAGAAAAACATTTTTTACCCATAGACGGCCATCCTAAACTGCCAGATTGGGAAACATCCCAACCTGGCAACAATGCACGGAAGATGGAAAACGTTATCCTTTAGATGCAAAACCCCATTGCACCGCAATATATTTTTGCTAAATATTCAAAACATAAATTCGCTAAATATAAGAGGAACATCGTAGTTTGGTTTAAAGAAAGCATTTTGTTTTATTATAATTTAGTTTGTTGCAAGGCAAATGCCCGGTCTTACAGATTACCAGTCCGAGCCTGGCTGCAGGACAAATGACGCCTCCTGCTGCCTCCAAATCTCTCAAACATCTACAGAGATTTCTTCCTCCTGACTCAGTGAGATCTTTATTCTGATCTGTTTATAGATGAAACTCGTCTGAAGTGTGAAGCAGGCTGGGAGCTACATGGAATGAACTGTTATTTTTTCTCCAACTATAAGTCCACCTGGATTGAGGGCAGAGATTCCTGCAGAGGTCAGGGAGGAGACCTGGTGAAGATCGACAGCAGAGAAAAGCAGGTATAAAACACTGCTGCAGCTTCATGTGTTCACAGATTTTATCATCATCATGTTTTGCCATCTGTTATGTGCCCCCAGGCACATTATGATTTCTTTTCTTTGTTTTCTAATAAACTTTAGTGAGGGATCCTTTTGTTATATTTTAGGATTCTTTAGTCAATTAATTATGTTAATTTGCGGTGCTGTCGTCCGCCTATAAATAGGCTGGCCTTCAGCACGTTGGTGTTCCTTGTGTTCCTGGTGGTTCCTTGCGCGTTCCTTGCGCGCTCGTTGCGCGTTCCTTTTTTCCTACCTCGTTTGGGACGCCGCTTGCCACCTGTTCCTTTTGGTTCCAGCGTGCGCGGTGCGC